TCCAAACCAGTGGTCAAACCTTACTCCTGATATCCCCAGGAGTCTCCCCAAATCCAAGAACACGTCCAACCGTGCTTAGAAGGCCATTCACGAACTCATCGGTGGTAAATTTTTTGTTTATTTTTGTATAATCGGTTGTATGTTTATTTAACATTTTTTTGTGATACAATTGCATTCATATTAGAGAACAGGACGTGAACAAGTGATCGCATGATGTTTTTAACGTTAGAATCACGCTCATCATGCACTCTCACATCAACATCGTCAGATCCAGATCCAGCAATCCAGATCTGAGCACCCACGATAGGCCTCATGAGAAGATGCACAGGATCCTGAAGATTTTTCCTCCAGCGTCTGGGCCAATGTTGTTGGGCCAATTGATTTATGATTCTCACACCCCCTAATTACTTGTTTTGCAGCTTGGCCCAATTTATTAATTTTTTTGTCTTTTTCTTTTATTATTTGTTTTCTTTTACTACAATTAGTTCTTCTTTACAACAAAAAACAAAAAGAAATCATAAAATTACAAAATCACAAAAAATATTAGACTTAGATTTTTATTAATTAAAATTAGTTTTAATTAATTATTTAATCATATGTTTTAATTAATTAAATTAATTAGAATTATATTTTCATTAATTTAATTATTACTTTTTTAAACAAAAAAACAACAAAAACATTTCTTTCTTTGTATCATTTAGATTTTTTAGGTTCTCTTTATATCTTTCTCTTTTCTCCCCGCGCGTTTATCTTATTCGCATTATTTTCACAATTATGTAATCGTACATGAGATGTAATAGCTTAATTTAGGACCCTTTACTTTTTTCTTTCCCCGTTTTGGTTTGTAACTCCCCCCACCCCAAAGCCTTGTAATAGCGTAGATTTAAATTCCTGCATTTTTATTTTCGTACTGATATTAACTGTTAGATGAATGCTAATAGGATTGTATAATAAGACTAAAAGTAAACTCTAGCAAAACTAACATCTGAAAATAAATAACTGAAACACAACATACTCTCACAACCACACCTCTAGGATACCTCCACTTGTTGCCTTCGGAACAAACAGTTGCGTCTCTCGAACGTAGGAGATTTTAGTGGTAACCCTTTGGTTTTGAGATCATAAGTCCATAGATGACCCTTTCGATGTTTCCTCGATATATGATCTTAAAACCTAAAAGTAATTACTAAAGTATCTTATGAGTTGCTTTCGTGACTATACAATGACCCTCGCCCGTCCCTCAAAAATCCAACGATAGGGCTACCTACTCACTAATAGTAGGATAACACTATCTAAAGGAAAATAGGAAAAGAACAAACCTTTTGAGTAGGTAGATAGATCCTAGTTGCTTGCTCATAAAAACAATCAAAAACAATTTTTTCACACATACACAAACTCTTTTCTAAATATTTTCAAACCAAAAAACACTTTGTATACGTTCTCGCCGAAACGAGAAACATTACAAAGTTTGCCGCACTAAGGCGTCTTTTCAAAATATCTTCAAAACACACTTACACAAAAAAGCATTTTCAAAGTGAGCTAGCAACTAAGAACCCATAGATAACTACGGATGGAAAGGGTACTAACACCTTCCCTTTCCATAACCTACCCCCCTTACTCAGAAAATAATCTCGAAAGGTCTTTCATGTTCTTTTCGCCCTTTCCTTTGTTGGATAAAAGAAAAGTCGGTGGCGACTCTTGCTAACCGTAACATTGCGAATAAAAACACAAAACCAATAAAAGTCAGTTCTCCCAACGTATTACACTCACAAACAAAAACATTTTTCACACGAAACACTTCTCTTCTAAATATTTTCAAAACAAACACTTTGTATGCATTCTCAATGATACGAATCATTACAAAGTTTTCGAAACTTAGACATTTACAAAATATTTTCAAACTTATACATTCACAAAGCATTCTCAAAAGTGAGCTAGCGACTAAGAGCCCGTAGATAACTATGGATGAAAAGGTTACTAACGCCTTCCCTTTTCATAACCTACCCCCCTTACTCAGAAAATTCTCAAAGGTCTTTCCTGTTCTTTTCACCCTTTCCTTTATTAGATAAAAGAAAAGTCGGTGGCGACTCTTGCTATCTGCAACATTTGTGATAAAATGCAAAACTAAAAGTCAGTTCTCCCATCGTATTACACCTCTATTTGTAGAAGTGGAGGGGGGAGCAGTGGCAAGCTTGGCAACACTTTGATGGAGATCTTATTGGCCCTTGATGAGAACATGAAGGGTTTCCATAAGCTGATCCATTCGGGTGGCCATGGTGTCCATATCTTGACGGAGAGCATTCTAATTTTCTTTGAAGAGATCCATAAGTCTTCGCTGGTTGCTTATTGTACAATAGGGATGTAGGGAAGTCGTCTTTGTTGTTCACCGAAGATTGATTGAAAAGGGACCCCAATAAGTTTTTGTTGGGAATAATGAACGCATGATAATATGAATGCATGTTTCATCTTCATTTCCGAGGAAATCCAAAGACTAGTTTATCCATAAGTATCTTTTAACAATTTTTATTTTTGAAGAGCTCAACCAATAAGACTTGTCTTTGGAATTCCTTAGACATGAGATGCATATACATGATGGTATGATGTCATGGTATTCCATGGCATGGGATCTCATCTCCACATATTCTAGATAACTATTGTATAGTCCTTTGCATAAACTGAAAGTAACAGGATCAAAGGTACGACGTCATGAGCATGGAGTCAAGGTAACCATCCATATGGTATGTACTAAGGGTTTATCATCTACCAAACAAGGTTCTAGGGAAATACCAGAGTCTACGCTCTTCCTTTGGATATTACCGATGTCCTAATTACTCGGTAATTAGTAATATTCGTAGGAAAAACTCGTCTGAGTATAGCATCACGTGACAACTACTTCGGGATTACTTTGTCATAGTCTCCACACTACACCTAAAAAAGCCAAGACGGGTTAAGGGTTCTACGATTCCTCAGCTTCGTAGGCTCTCAGGTCAAAAGCAGCAATGTCTTCCCAATTACTCGGTAAACAAATACTACAGTCAAAGGGGCCTCCCACTGAGTGGGGGATCTCATGCCTCCTTCTTAGGGATTACTCCCTCAAAGTTAACATGACTATACCAACCATCCTAATCTTAAGTATGCCTAAGTCCGGGTATAGGACTTATAGAATGAAATCACCCACCCCAACATCACAAAAGATACATCATATCCAAAATAAGTGAGTAGAAAAAGTACAATGCAGTATATACAAAAGAAATAAATAAAGAAATAAAGAAATAAAGCCGTAAAGCAAATAAATTAAATAAATAAACACCCAAAGAAGCAAACAAACACAACTAAGATTGACTCGCATAGGGTCCCCAATAGAGTCGCCAGCTGAAGCAACCGATAAAAAACACAAAGCCTCCACCGAAATTTATTTATCTCGAAGGAAGAGGAAATATCGAGAAAACCCCAAGAGGATGGATAAGATGGTCTTGCAATCAAAATAAAGGGTATGGAAGTCGATTATGCGAGGGGAAGGTATTAGCAACCCTCAGATTTGTTGTACTCAACAGGATCCATTTTGATTGTTTGTTTATAATGGTGTGTATATCTAAAACTATACTTGCTAAGGGAAATGAAATGGTTTTTATTAGTGCGTTCGTGAAGGTCTCACAACCCTTTTCCTATGTATCCCGTGAAGGAATCAAAACACCGTAGTTCTTCTAGAAAATGTTGGTTTGTTGGTGTTTTTTAGTGGGCAGTGTTAGTGCATGCATTCTAACAATAGGCATGGCCAGTATCGCGGTAGAACAGAGATAAAAGGCCCTTTTGAATAAATCTTAGATTTGTTGAGTGTTTTTGTTAAGTGAAATGAGTTTGATATACTTAAGTGTTTTGAATTTATTTTTATTAAGGAAATAAGTTTTAGTTTTAATTAGGAAATATGCAATGAAAAATAAAAGTCTAAGGGGAAAGTCTACCCTAATATTGTCATGCAAAGTGGACCTAAAGTTGAGTTTTTGAAAGGAGAAATTCTATCCTAAAGTTATAATGTCAAGGTTTAAAATCTAATATCTAATTCAACATTAAAACGATCCAAACAAAGTTTAATCGTATAATGGAATTCTGTAGGGAACTTGACATCAAGAATCAACCAAATAAATAAATAATATAAGAGAAAATTAAAATCTAATATCCTTTTTTACTTTTTCCATTAAAAATATTAAAAGCAAACGGAACTAAATATCCTAATTTTTTTATTTATTTAAAGAAGAAATTAAGACAAACAAAACATGAATAAATTTTGGAAGATAAAAAGAAGGTAAAAATGGTCTGTATGGGTAATGAACATGGGACCATTGGATTGCACGCCGTTAGACACACCACCACATCCAGTGCACTTAATTTGTTACTAGAACTAAACAGAAAATGAAAAGTGAATAGATCTGGCTCTAGAGAAATCGGGTCGGGTCGAGGCCCACGAGAGGAATGTGCAAGGGAATTTGAAACAACCAAACCCTAGATGTTTTAAGAGATCTGCAGCGGCTAACCTTGGTAATAGGTCAACAATTAATTTTTAATTTCCCAATTAAACCACAATTAAAACAAAAATCTGAATCTCTCTCTCTCTTTCTTATCTCACGATGAAACTTCATTCTTTCTCTCTTCCAACCATTGCTCTTCTATTTCCAGATCATGGTTTCTCTCTTAAATATCTCCTTTCATATTTCAACCTTCCTCCCTGAACAACAATAAAACTTATTCAACTCTCAACCAAACACTTTTATCAATCTTGATTTCCTTTGTTATTTTTCTATTTTTTTCAACCTTATCTCAACAAGACTCAACTTCTCACGCTAAACTCATCATCACCCCTCACACAACGAATGACACTCAAATGAACATTTAAACAATAATGGATTTGCAAATAAGGAGAATCAATATATTAATATCAAAGCAGGAATAAGCGGCGATGGTGAATCACATGGGGAAACAACACAAGACTAAATTTCACAAATATGAATATGAAATCTCGAGGTTTAGCGATTTACCGACTTGACGAAATCGAAGGCGCTTTTAGGTATGGTGTTTAGCTTCCCTCTTATCCTTCTTTATGTTTTATCTTCTTATTCAATCTCACTTTCTGGTTTGAATTGTTGTCGCATGTGGTAATGAGGCTGTAAGCTTCTATTATTGTTTTGAATCGTGTCGATGTTTGTTTTCTGGAAATTTCTACTCGCAGGTCATTGAAAATGTTGCTTGAAGGTGGTGTAGTTTGAAGTTAATGTGCAGGTTTTGACGAGTTGGTGAAAGGAGATAATGGTTCGGATTTGCTGTAGTAGTTTAGTTGTAACATAGAAGATCGAAACAGGGAGGTGGAAGAGCTCGTGGCTGAAGCTTGTAAGGGTAGATTGTAGAGGAAGGATGAGTTCTGATTTTTGGCAGAGCTTTTGTTATATTTTTCTCTGTGTTTTTTTTGTATGGATTTTCTTATGATTCTTGTGTTTTCTATTTGTAGTTGGTTTATTGTGGGTAAGTTGTGAGCCTGAGTGTTGAGTCATGCAGGGAGTATGCTGGAGGTTTGTGACATGAATGGAGGTTGGGGTTACTTTATTTGTGAGAAACGAGTAAGGTCTATAAAATTAGTGGTGGCAGATTGGAGATAGTGTAGAGGTGTAGAAGGTTTGATGTAGTTTTGGAAGAGGTTTAATAGTAGAAGTTTTGTAAGGTAATTTCTATGTAAGAGCAGAGGTTGGAGAGTGTATTTTCCTGTGCGTTTTCTAGGTCCATTATGGGTTCATTCTTGGTTTCCTTCTGCTTATTGTTGGCGTGTTTTTATAATGAATGAGAGTGGATTTTGGGGGAAAATTTTGATGAATTTGAACAAAAGTAGTTAACTGTAGTGTAGCTTTTTGATGCAGTTTGCTTTGCCTATTTTTATGCAAGGTTGCAGCAGGTTGGACTGGTTTGTTACAACGGGTTTTGGACTATTTTACAGGGTATGCAGCAAGTTTTGGACAACAACATTTGGACTGGTTTGCGACAGCAGTAGCGGCAGGTTCTTGGACTATTATATTTGGTTTGTTTTCTGGTTATTTTGATGCAAGTTGGTGTAGCATACAACAAGTTTAGATTGGTACAAAACTTTGTTTCTTTCCTGGTTTATTGTTACAACAGGTTTTTGTTGTATAAGGGCTATGGTTTGGCATATGATGAGAAAAGTTTTGGTGTTTTGGACAACAACTTTATGGAGGATAGCAACAAGTGATGGCAACATCTTGGACATCAAGGTTTTGTTTGGTTATGGCATTGAAATTATGGATAGAATAGGTTTAGGTTTAGCATTTTTTGTGACCTTGGATGTAACAAACCATGTATTTGATCTTGTTCTTCTCACATTTTTAGCATAATTTTCCTCTTCAAAATTCATTTGAATAATGATGATGTAGCTTCTTTGAATGTATATTGATTTTGACAAATGTTTATGGCAAGATTGTAACATGAAGCTTTAGCATGTAACTTTTTAATGTAACTTCCCTTTTGTTCATAAAATGTTCAAAGTTGTAGTTGTAATGATGGATGAACTTGAAATAATGCATCAAATTTAATTTTGCACTTGGAATTGAAATTGATCTCATGTCTTGAATAATTTTTACAACTTTGAAACATCATGCCTTGAAAATGGTCTTGAATAAGAGAAATAATGGGATTTGATGAATACTTGGATAAATTTTGAATGATGGATAATGACGAATTAAGTGGACTTGAGTGAAACTTGAATAAGTCTTATAATCTTGTGGATATTTAAATGATGAATAACCTTTAATCATGATGAATGATTAACTCTTATAACTTGAATATCAATAAATCCACCTTCAAATTTGCATGCTTAGAACCTTGACAACTTTAAACCAATTTGAACTCAATTCGAATTCAATGATATTTTTTAGATGCAATTTCAAATCAACTCAATGAAACTCCTCATATCACTTGCATCATGGCTCCAACTTCTAACAATTCAAACTCTCAACTCCTTATTATTAGGTATTGAAAGCAAAAAGCAAAAACCTTGATCACAACTTCATCTCTCTGGCCATGGTTTGTTCTTTGTAGTTCACACCAACAATCCTTCAAATAATGATCAATGATCTCAAAATGTATCTTAAGGTGTATAAGATTTGTCATGGAAAACCTAATCATTCTTACATTGAAAAACACTAACAAAATCACACACCAAGGATAAGAAACCCTAATCATGAAGTACACTTATGCATTAAAGCCCTTTATACTGAGAGAAACCCCAAAACCCTAATTCACTCCATACTAAAAAGATTGCAACCCCGATCTTCTCAAAAATACAGAGAAGTACACTTTGACCCATGACCTTGGTGAATGTGGATGGAGAAAGAAGTATACAATAATGAATCGAAACCCTAGCTCACACCTCATTTCTCAAACAAGAAAAATTAGAAGGACCAGTCTTATTGATGTACAATCCTCAAAACCAATGTGAAGCCCTAGCTTGAATGACCACTGATTTTTTTGAATGAATGCCTTATTGAATGAAGGAATGCATGATATGAAAATGATTTAGGGGAAATGATGCAAATGAAATGCAAAACCTAAGCCATATAAAAGTAAAAAGGTAGGAAAATTTGGGGTATGACATAGTGATTTCGTCCACTTGTACAATTATTTTTGTAAGTTCAATAATATCCTATAGCGACGAACAAAACCTTTCATAGCTTTCTCAGTCAATTTCCCTCTAATCAACTTCATTTTCCTCATATATGGCATCATGGCGCTAATGCGGATGGTAGCTTTCTTGTCGATATTCATTTTTAGGATGCTCACCAAAAACCTTTCTTCTTTTTATTATTTTTTAGAAATCCTGTGAGTAAGACAAAATAAATGAAAAAATGAATATTTTTAAATGTAAAATGCATGTATGCATGGTGATGCAATATGGTGGTGGGATGATAAGGATATTTTTAGTAGGTAGGTTCATAAGTTCGTTCTACAGATATTCTACCCTTCCCCAAAAGGATGTTTTCCTTAAGGGTATCATGGATAATACTAAAGGGAAAAGGCACAAGGGTCTCCCTTAAGTGGAGCCTTTTTATAGACCGAGACTTTCGTCTCTTAGGTCGTACAAGGTCTCACCATGAGATTTTATTTTTGGTTATACAAAGAGTCATTAGTCAAATCCCAAATTCCTATCTCCAAGAGAGTCTATCCCTCTAAAAGATATTTCTCGTAATGTGATCCAGTCTAGGCGAAGTCGTCGCAAAAACTCATAGGAATGTTAAACCCCATTGTCCAATTGACAATCTTTCTTCTAAGGTTGATTATTATTTAAAATGAAATCCCACCATATATATGACAATAATATGATAAATACAATAGCAATAAATGAGAAAACCCTAAATAAGACAAATATGGAAATAACCAACATACCATAAATAAAAAAACCTAAAACCCCTAGAGCTAAAGGTAGGGTAGACTTTAACTTAAGGGTAGTATCCTCGACAGAGTCGCCAGCTGTCGTAACCGACAAAAAAATACGAGAGTCACCACCACTACTTTTTGTCCTAGGGATGGGAAAATAACAAATAACCCTAAAGTTTTAGAGATTTTAGATTCGTGAGTCGATTAGATAAGGGGGGGTGTTAGGCACCCTTCATCTCCATTGTACTCAAGGGGACCCCCTTTAGGTCTATGGTTTAATGGGAATTCTATTTAAATTGTGTCATTTCCATGTGTATAAGAAAAAAGATTTAATTTTTTAGTTATGGGACTCGTCTGGGTTTTAACTGCGTGCCTACGTATCCTCATGTGGAGAAATTAGAGTATATTTCATAGTTCTTTATGTGTTTTGTTAGTTTTTTTATAGGATTGTGTAACTTCTTTCGAACGATCCTTTTATATTCGTCAGTGTTTGAAAGTTGAGTAGTTGTATAAGTGAACCCAGTGGGTGTATTTTAGGTAGCCACCAGTGTGGGCAGCCGTTGAGGTTGCCATCTCTAATGATAGCTCGTTTGGAACTTCATCGTTTCGAACTTCAGCCGTTGAGGTTTCCATCTCCGATGATAATCATTGGACCTTAGAACCCTAACGATAAACCCCAACAATGAATAACCCTGACTATGAACCCTATAAGACGGTGGAAGAACTGGCTTTTTTGGTTTTATCCTAATATGCGGATAGCAAGAGTCACCACCGACTTTTCTTTTATCTAATATTTAGGAAAGGTGAAAAGAACAGGAAAGACCTTTGATAGATTCCAAGTTCGGGGGTAAATTATGAAAATGGAAGGTGTTAGCACCTTTTCATCTGTAACTATAGCCATAATGTTAACCATATCGGTCTATGTCGTACAGTCTTTATGATCTATTGCTACTTACCTAAGGAATTCCTGGATCCGGGTGTAGGATCTTACAAGCAATAATACCCAAACAAACCCTTAAAGTAAAGCAAACAATTCAAACAATTAAAGTAAGTAAAAGTGATCTGAGCTCTAAGGTAACCCCTCTTTTTTAAGTAAAGTCCTCAGCAGAGTCGCCAGTTCTATAATACGGTGGGAGAACCGACTTTTTTGGTTTTATCCAAATGTGCGAATAGAAAGAGTCCCCACCGAATTTTCTTTTATCCACTATTTAGGAAAGGTGAAAAGAACAGGAAAGACCTTTGATAGATTCTGAGTTTAGGGGGTAAGTTATGAAAAGGGAAGGTGTTAGCACTCTTCTCATCCGTAGTTATCTATGGGCTCTTAATTCCTTAGCTCACTTTTGAAAACTTGCTATGTGCATGTGTGATTTGTTTAAAAATATTTTGAAATTGCCAATTTAAGGCTAACTTTGTAATGATTCTTGTATCAATCCTCAAGAATTTATACATAGTGTTTTTGAAAATATTTTTTTGAAAAGTAGTGTGAAAATGTATTATTTATGAGAAAAGTTTGTGAGCAAGCAATTAGGAGTTCTTACCCACTAAAGTCTTTCTTGTTATTTTCCTTCTCCTTTGGAGATAGTACTATCATATCATTAGTTGGTAGGTAGCCCTATCTATTGGATATGAAGGGACGGGCGTAGGGTCATCGTATGGTCATCGAAGGAAACATGTAAGGATACTTTAGCAATTGTATCAAAGGGACTATCATCATTTTGATCATAGGGTCATCGAAGGGACTAGATCATTTTATAGGCAGCTCGAAGGGTCATCGAGGGATTTTGATCTTTATTCAAAAGGGACAATGATTATTTGATCGAGGGTCTTTTACTAAAGTATCCCCACTTTCAAGGAACGTGACCAATATTCGTAAGGCAACAAGAGAGGTTACCCTAAAGGTACAAGTATGAAGAGTGTTTGTTTTCAGTTATCTTATCTTGTGAATTAGGGTTTTCTATGTTTGCTTTTAGTCTTACCATACAAACCCCAGTTACTAGCAGTTAAATATATACGAAAAGTTAAAGTGCATAATGTAAAGACCTAAGCTATTACATGGCTTTGGGAGAGATACATAAATATAAAAATTCATGAGAAAGTAAATCTACGCTATTACATCCTGTGAGCAGTTACATAATTGGGAAAAATGCAAGAAAGGAAATATACGCTATTACAATTAAAAAATGCAACCAATACAGTTTTCTATGAAAATTAAATAGCAAGAAGAAAGAAAATAGAAAAGAATGTTAAAATGTTTTATGATTTTTTTGTAGAAAATAATTTAAATGATAATAGTAATTAAAAAATTAATTCTAATTAATTTTAATATTAAGAATAAAAGTTAATTAATTAATTAATTAATTAATAGATTAGTAAATAAAAAATATATATAAGAAAAAATTAATTACTAACTCAAACCCTAATCCTAATTTATTAAAGTAAAAAACAGATTAGATTAGTTAATTGTTAATTAAAAATAATTGGGGTTAGAAAAAGAAATAAAAACAAAATGTATGGGGTGGGTGTTGAACCCACGCCCCCGATCTCAAAGGATGCCTTTCTATCCATTGTGCCACCATGTTGTTTGTGTTTGAGAAAGATAATCAATCAACATATTGTGAATCTGAGTGTTACCCTGAAAAACAAAAGAATTTGGCAAAAACTAGGATCGAACCCACGCTCTTTACTATGACCAACACATCACTAACCACTGCGCCATCTATTGTTCCTTGTTAGTTAGTCAGCATCATTAAATATAATATAAACAAAATCTAGAAAATCAGAAGTCAAAAAAACTTAAACACATGCGTGTTAATGGGGTCA